AAATTTTTTTAGTTTCCGATCTCATGTCGTGACTCGCAGATTTGCTTTTTTTAAGAGGGTAAGTATTAGTTTGTAGGCGGGTTTTCACCCATATAACGAGCTCCTATTGTGAAATGGTCTTTTAATAACTTTGGTTTTATGTACTTTACGTTCAGTAAAGCGAACGTAAAACTGGCCCCCACCCCTCCTTGCCAAAATAAAAACAGGGGGCTTAGCGCATTTTAATAAAAAAAAATAACCCTTTTTAAAATTTCCCCTTTAATTACGGATGCATTTATGTGAGTTTTAATCAATTTTGTTAATGTTAAAATATTTTTAGTGGGTTAAATTTTACTTTCCTCACTTTTTGACTAGTTCTGCATTAGTTTGTTTGTTGTCGTTGTTTAAGCGCCTGCTCTGTTCCTGCTGTGTTGTAACGTCTTGCTGTCGCATATTTTTTTTTTTTGTTTTTTTTTTGGACTTACTTGCTTTAGACCAGAGTTGTTGTTTTTGCACTTTCTCCCTTGATCGCAGTTATGATTTACCCCTGCAATTTTTAAAAATTTTTTGGTGAAACCCTTTAAGTTTTGAATTTTCTCTTTTCCACTTGTATTGAAAGCGTGACAATGCTGCTTTTTTTTGTTCGCTGTCGTTTCTGTGTGGAAGTGGTGCTTCTTATGTTGCTACGGTACTGTGCTGGGGGTGTTACTTTTGGGCTACGGCGATGTTGCGATCGCGGTGGGGTATTGCGTGGGTACCTTGGAGATATGTCGGCTGAAGTAATAAAACGGGTTGATTGGTAATTTTATGTAAACAGTCTGGGGGGGTATAGCCCGCCTACCTGTTTGTCTGCCTGAAGCAAAAAGAGAGGTTGGCCCCTCGCACACGCTCCATGGGCATAGCTAGACGTCACGCACCAAAAGCCAGCTGAAAAGGGTCCGTAATTTTTTTTACCTAGTACCATACATATATAACAGGTTATAATGGATTCAGCAACATATGGCAGGGTGGTGGTTGGGGGTGTTGTGGTGGTTAGTGGTGGTATGGTGGTGGTGTGTGGTGGTGGTGGTGGTGGTAGGACTGCTGAAAATTTCGTTTCTGACAATGGTTATTTCACCTGCTCTAAAAGGGGTTTTTGTGACTAACATATTCATAAAAAGAGAGGGAAAAAGACCTTGACATCACTTTTTTTGAAAAATTTAATTATTGTCGTATTTTCCCTGTGGCTTGTCGGCAAATGACTTTATGATAGGTGAGGTGAATCAAAAAAAAGAACAGATGAGGAAAAAAAA